AACGAACATGTCAATAAAAATATAAAATCTACTTTTCCTTATTTTGTTCTTTAAAGAGAAATAACGTGCTATATACTACTACTTTAATCTTGTTTTCATGTTTCATTTCTACTTTATTTCATTTTCTACATAAAATTAATGTGGTTATTCACTGAATAACTAAAGTTTTAACACATATTATGTCTGATTATCATGACCTGAAGAGAAAGCCGGAAAGTCATGATAGTGAAAAAGAGCCTTAAAACCTTTTTCTATTGAGAAGCTTACTTGATTACAAACAAAAATTATGATTTTTTCGTGTGTTCAATGGTTACATAGGCAGCTCGATATCTTAATAAATCTGAGGTGCATTTTATTGAAAAATTATATAAATTTTATTTATAAATTATATAAATTATCTCTCTCAAAAACTAAGAGTTGTTCAGGAAAAGGGGTAGCATATCTCGGATCCTCGTTAAATTCCTCATCGATTGATGCATTCCATTTTCTTGTAAACCAGCCCCAGGAAAAATGGGGCCATTCTTCCTCAAAGACTTTGCTGAATTAATTGAAAAGTACAAAAAATATTTTCTCTCTTACCTTCTGGACTACGACAAGTAATGTAAGTTTTTGCACGATAAATAGCTGATTTCACTTTTTTTGGTTCAACAGTTGTTGAATTATGTGAGGGATCATTTGTAAGATCCATTTGCGAACTGCTGCTATCATCAACTTCAGATTGCACTGGTGACAATGAAGTATTCACATCATGACGATCATAATCAAGGGTCTAGAAGAAAAAAAGCAAATGTTTATTACAGCCGCTTATCTTATTCAAGTTTATTTTTTGAACGCTGACTCACTTGCCAGTATGATCCGTTTAAACCAGTATGTTTTTTTTCGTGAGACTTTCGTTCATTGTTTGCTGAATGTTTTGATCGACGTTTTCGCTTTGGCTGCACTTTCTAAAATGATAATAATCTTCAATATCACGGCGAGTGAACAAATATTATAGTAAATTCAGCGATTCCATTCCTCGCTAATTTATTATTAATAGTTTTTAACGACTCAAACGAAAAATACCGGATCTGTTTACTTATTACCGCCTCATTTCTCTGTTTTTCTTAACATTTATGGCTTATCAGCACCGTAAGTGCCCTAAGTTTTCTTCAGATTCACTATAACGTAGCAATGAAAGCTTGTGTAAAGTTCGGAGACGACTCATTTTAAAGAGCAAACATTTTCCTCATTGTTAAGTAACCTTCGATAGATGATAGATTTACTTATGTGAGGTCGTTAAACTAGAGACCGGATCGTGAGAATAGAGCGTGGACACAGGCACGAGAGAAGTTGTCAAGATTTGTTCTCTCATCAATTAAAAGAAAAACGTTAGCTCTTTAAAATGAGACCTCTACCAGCTTTGAAGAAGCTGTCGCTGAAACGATACAATCCTGGCAAAAAGTATCGCACTTACGAAAAAGCTAATCGCTATCCGGAGAGGCCGTCTTGTCTCAAATCGAAATGAAATAAGGGGCGTAGTGAAAAGTTGTTTTATTAGGTACCTGTAGCGGATTTTTCTATTTCTCGTCTTACTATCTTTACCTTTTTTCTTTCAGGCTCTTTTGGTTTCGTCTTTTTTTGTTCATCATTTGATGAATCATCTTGTGTATCCTACATAATGAAAAAAGTTAAATTTCAGATGAATAAATCATAAAAGATGAACTTTTATTACTTCTTTTCTCCTCAGTCGTGGTCGTTTTTTCGCAGTAGGTTTTTGGAAAGAATCTGAATCGGATGAATCCATCTGAAATCAATAAATAATATTCAAGCGAGATTCTACTGCAGATTCATCGCCTTCCTACCACTCCCGTCTTCGGGAGCGGTAGAGAGATAATCAATCTATAGTAGTATTTCAAGCAATCTAAGATCATTACAACGAGAGTAGACAATATCTGTCCTTGTTACAGATCTATTGCTATAAAAAATTACCATTAGATGGTCACAACTTTAAAAGTTAATATAACTTAATAAAGTCAAGCAAAAACACGAAAAAGATATGAATTTTCTTTTTTTTCTTCTTTTCTTTTTTAAACTATTTTCTTGCAACTTGTTTCGTAATAGCAAAAAACCAATCCTGTTAGAGCGTTGTTATGATTGCCTGAAACAACTTTAGAATTTTTCCCTTAATGCGAATTGTACAGCTCAAATTCTTGAAAGTTCTTTAGTAAAAGTACTTGATGAGTACTAGGGAAGTATGTGACAAGTTAAGCACTTGACAAGTAGTTGAGGAAGAGCTTGTGTAGTGTCGTTACCTGTCTTGCAAAGTATACTTGGACAAGTCAATCATTCTTTTCTTTTGCACTGGCCACTTTTTCGTAGTCAGCGTTTTCGATTAGGCGGGGAAGTGGGGGACCTCCCCACCCTAAATTTTGATACGGTCCGCCAAACTTTTGGAGTTTGTGTTTTGGCTTCTTTAGTTTTATATTAGTTCTGATTGTCCGTCAAAATAACTGGCAGACAGACTTTTATATTCGTTATTGTTGAGTCAAACGACGCTGAACGGGTTTTTAGCACACTTCGTTGAGTGAAAACATGGACACAAAATCGTATGGGAGATGTGACCCTAAAAACAGGGGCGCCCCGATAAGGGGAGGGATCCCCCCCCTGCTTTTTGAAAAAATTTACTCCGAAATCAAGATTTTCTTCCTCCGAAAATTATGCCTTTGACTTACGAGAATATCCTACGGAGTAAAGCGTTTACTTGTACTTTCAGAGTAAGACAATTATTCTCGTTTTTAGAGTAAGACGTCTACTCTCAATTTTGGAGTAAGACATTTATTCCCATGTTGAGAGCAAAAGGCTTACTCTCAGTTTCGTAGTTAGGAATTTACTGCTATTAGCTTTAGAAGAAAACTGCTTAGAATATTTATCTTTGTTTTTTTATTTTTACTCCAATTTTTAAAAGCATAAAAATTTACTCCGAAATTGACTTTGCCCCCCCTGCTTCCGAGGTATCGGGGCGCCCCTGCCTAAAAACATGTATCAAAGGTTCGAGTTTATAACTTCCATTAGCCCCAAAAGTTACTAATTTTGTTATAAAAGATTTTATTTTTGATCCAGGTCGAGCCAGAAAACGAAATATATCGTTATTTCTAGAGAATGACATGGATGAATATTAAATATTGTTTTTGTTGAAAAAATTAATTCTGATACGGAGTAACAAAAATTCTTTTCAATTAACGATTGTTTCACTTATTTAGGAAAAAACTGTCCGCCAAAGAAATCTCCCCACCCTGATTAAAAACAATCGGAAAGCCTGTTCGTAGCCGTACGCGTACATTCAGGATGATGTTTCTCCGTCTGATGATATTCTCATTCAAAAAGTCCAAAACCCCACCAAAAACCATAAAGTCATCGATGGAAAACCCTATAGAGTTCGCAAGTTCGACGAAGAATCTCCCCTGAAAAATAGTTTTAGTATCCACCTTTTGGTCATCCCACATTTAAAACGTCTAGATCTCCTAACACTCGCACACGATCATCCTGCGTCAGGTCATTCAGGTCGCCGAAAAACTCTACATAGACTATCAATCCGTTTCCACTGGGGAGGAATGAGACGCGACGTAGTGAACTATGTAAGATCTTGCGACCTTTGTCAACGTTTTAAGGCCGGTAATGAAAATAAGGCCCATTTAATGCAATCACATATTGTGCATACGCTCGGAATAGATCTCACAGCTCACAGGCCCACTCCCTAAAACTCCCAGGGGAAACAGCTACATTTTAGTCATTATTGACTATTTCACTAAATGGGTCGAATTTTTTCCTTTGGAAGATATAAAAGCGAACAATATCGCAAAATTATTGCATGACGAAGTCATCTGTCGTCACGGGGTACCGGTTAAAATCGTTTCTGATAACGGAGCTCAGTTCGTGGCCGAGATTTTTAAAGGAACTTTGAAAATATTAGACATTCGACATCGAACTACCGCTCTATACCATCCGCAATCTAATTTGTCAGAGCGAGTAAATCGAACTTTAAAGCCGATGTTGGCAATATTTGCTGAAAACGAAAAAGACTCGTGGAATGTACGACTTCCTCAACTCGCTTTTGCCATTCGCACTGGTATAAACGAATCAACGGGCGAAAACCCATCTTTTCTACGTTATGGTAGAGAGTTAAGACTCCCAATGGATCTTTTATACGGGTCTGAGATCGAAGCGACCATCAAATTGAAAGATTCGGCCGAGTTTGATTCAAAAAATCAATTTGGAGACAAGCACATGGAAAGATGGTCTGGAGTGTCTACTTCCAGAATCTGTATCGCTTTTGGGCCTGGAACTAGCTTTTTGTGGTTTTCGAGCAAGTTTTCTAGAAGCCTTGAAAACCAGGATCTTCAAATAACAATTTTTTTCTGGACATTTAAGCAAGTAAATTTTTTCTGAACATGTAGATTTGTAGAGCAGACTTTTCTGATCAAAACACGACGTTGTACAACTCTGTGTGATCTTGCGTTCAAAAATTACAAACATTTTCCCACATGTCCTAAAACAGACCAACGAATGCACAGGATTTTCTCTCAACACGTTTTCTGTTCGAACATGTCCAGTGCGGGGTACTTTTTTTAAATATACTTCAAGCAAGAGATCTCAGGTTGGTTTTATTTTAAATTAGACACCTAGCTGCGTGGGCTGATGGGACCAGATTTTTGAATCAGGCCCTAGTTTTCTAGAAAATCAAGAATCTCTGGAAAACCCGAAAGGATTTATTGGGGTATACCGACATTTGGGCGCACAATGTATTAGGCGACATTTGGACGCAACGATAGTTGAAGTTCAAAGGCGCCGGGGCGGACGAGGGTGAGTGTGAGTATTGATGTAGATAAGGAAACAGTGATTACAGTTGGATATGTGTAATATAGAAAAAGCTCTCACACCGTACCAAGTTTGTTTAAAGAAACTTTTATCTTTATGCGTCATACTTTAACAAATACACTCTTACTGAATACTTTTGTTGTACATGCGCCCAAATGTCGTTGCGCTCAAATGTCGTTGCGCCTAAATGTCTGGTAATCATTTGGAGGGTGGATTTTTGACCTTGAACTCTGGAAAATCCCGGAACGGTAAGACGTAGCGAGGAAGAAAAATTTCATAATCACACTTTGATTTGGCAAACATTTGCTGAAAGTGACATCAAAATCGGATGTAAGACAAAAAAGCTTTTTCTGAGGGAGCTCCTTAATGACAACACATGATTGCAATTGTATGACAGATACGATAGTTTTAGCTGTTGAATGTGATATTTATCTGCTCTTAGATAAGTTATAAACAATTCAGAGAAACATAAAAACAGTTCCTAGTTGAGGATTCAAAAAAAAATTTCCGAATTTTTTTATTTTGAATTTCATGATTTTGTGCGACTGATGATCGCAGCTGTTTTAAGCCGACTTTTTGATAATGAATTAATAATGTAACAAAAACTTTCAAAACATCATTGTTTGCGATATACTACGTATGTGGGCAAAACAAATGGATGAATGCATTAAGTGTACAGGATTTCACTGGAAGTTTCGTGGGAGTTCGCACAGTACTCTCAATTAAAACTGAACTACCCCATTTAACTGAAGAATATTATCAATAAAAATCTATTACTAAAGTCTTTTACATCCAACTCGTGAAAAGTCTTAGAGAATGTATTGAACGTTATATTAGTAGATTGTAATCACGGCAGAATTGGACCGGACGGTGTACATCGATATGAAAAATAATTTTCTTACATACTTTCAACAAAACTTTCTATAAAGTTATAGAATTTATAAGAAGAGCCCTAAATTGTTCATTGTCAGCTCAAAGCTACAGAAATAAGAAGGAAAAAATTAATTTAGGGCTCTTCTTATAAACTCTATAACTTTGCAAAGAAAGGTGTAGAGCTGGAGGATGTTTCATTTTAATCAGAAATTTGCGGGCTACAATCCTGCATTATTAAGAAAGGCTTGGGTTATTTTTTGGGGTTTCTGAAAAACTGGTTTTCCAGAAGACTGGATCTTCCAAGAGCTATGGGGAAGTTCCATGGTCATATTCGGAATCAGTATGATCGATAATCTATAACCCACTAGATGTCGATCAAAAAGCGATTTATCACCTCGGGAGGTTCCCTCGTCAGTTTCCACCGCTTCTTCTTCGCTTTCTAAACTATTTTCTCGCAAATTTACCGGTTTCTCACCAGTTTGCAAAAACTCTATATCGACAAACGGATCTCCTGTTCATTACGATTGTAAGAGGACGTATTGCGAGCAACATTAGTAAAATCCCAATAGTGTACAGATTATTCGTAACGCTAGCTTTAATTAATGACTTAGTCATTACAATGGAATTTCAATATCAAAAATATTCGTTTGCCATAAGAAGGATGTTATTCCCTTGCATATCTACGAACATCTCCTGTCTTAAAAGATTTCTGAAGAACGCTTACGAATTGTGATCGTTCTAATCAATTGAAGTAAATTGACCAAGCTATTTCTTTCATCGTAACTGTAACAAAAACAAGCGATAATTGTTTGTTTCTAAATAAGCCGAAATAAAGTCTAAAACAGAGATGCTATATTGACTATTATCAATCTAAGATTGTTTATTCATTATTGAATGAAAAATATTGCTGATAAAAAAAAATTCTATAGAAAACAAAAATGAAAACAATCAATCTGAACAATACATTCATTAATAATACATTAGATAAATATCGAAAACAAGTATGTGTACACAAAATATTACTAGGGAAAATAATTGTTTGTTCAATATGAATACTCATAAACATTATAAAAAAAAAACTGAATATGTAGAAAAACAAGAAACTATGACTGATCGATTATTGCACAAAAACGAAATATGACAAAACAGAGTAGCAAACATTTATAGATACCACTATCATAAAACGAAAGTACATTCTAAGCGAAAGTCAACTGCGAGCACATTTTTTATCATGAAAATACAAGTTAAAGAATGCCGAAAAATAAGAAAATAAAACAAAAATCACTAGTTTTCTATTCTCACAAGAAATCTATGATGTTTTATAGGAAGAAAATCTAACAATAGTATATTTTATATGACAACAAGAAACCGGTTGCATTTGAGCATAATAACAAGAGAATAAAAATTTTCGTTTAATGACTATCTGGCAGATTAAAGTCAGTCCAGATTGGGCAATGATCGGATACAAGCCCACCCCAGCTCCAACCGTTTGGAATCCATGGACTTGTTAAATTATCACGAATAACACCACAACAACCTAAAACAGAGGCAGGCATTAAGAGAACACATCGATGTGAAGATGGGTCGAATTGAATATCAATTAATCCACCACTTCGATTTTCATCTTGTTGTAAAGGTCCGATTGACTCCATATTTATACTAGACGGTATCTCAGAACAATAATTTTGTTTTTTCGTTTTCTTTCTCGGGATACAAAAAGAAATGGTAATTTAATGTTGAAACTCTATAATTCGGATAGGATAAGTCAGAAACGAAAATATCGTTCTGCGAAATGGTCTCAGGCATCTGTGATAAATTTTTTGACCCGATTAGATCGTAATGTACCAGATTGAAACTATCAATGCAAGTACCATTTGCGGCGATGCTTATATCTCCGCGATAAATGGCTGGAAAATTTTGGAAGACATCTCATTTACCTGAATGAAATTCTTTTGCTTCTGCTGACAACCACATATTATCAACACACGTAGAGCCATTTGGTGTTTTGATACTTATATTTGTATTATCATTTATTAAATAAGAAAATCCATGTTTAATCAACGGTTCAAATTCTAAGAAAAACGAAACATAAATGAAAAATTCGATCAAAATAAAACAAAATTGTTTCTTTACCTTCTGATTTTGGATTATGGTTAAAATCGCCAAAAATAACCACCACCTTTTGCTCTATGATAATAATTGAAAACAATAAAAAATTAATTTAAGTATAATCAATAAATTTTACCTATTGCATCTTTCATTGCTTCAGCCAAGAGAGATAATGATAAGGCTTCATCTTTTGTTCTATCATTGACATTTTCATCAAGACGTCTGGCTTTCAAATGTACATTTACAAGTACAATTTCGATATTATGAATCTTAAACAAGAATATAACTATGAATACCAACCGCTTCATATACCTTTTAGTCATTCTTACTTTATAAACAGCAATATATGGTAAACGAGTAAAATGTTCTTTGAGTGGAAGTAGCGATGCCTTTTTCAATGTTATATTAGCTGATTCATCATAGATGTAACCAAAATATTCACTTCCCTAAAAAGAAGTACAACCATGCTGAATTTTGGCAAGTTTTTAATATTTTTCATTTTACTACGCTGACTGCATTAATCTGTGTGTTAATTGTACAGTTTTATTGTGTAAGTGTGCAGTAGTCAAACTTTTTAAGTACTACAAAGTTTCATATTTCCCATTCTTAACACACTTATTGAATTTGCGTCAAACTGCAACAATGTGAATCCTAGTCTGTGATAAACACTAGGAGGAAATACGAGAGACAGCATTTAATGCCAAAAACTGACCAGGATCGAAACTAAACTTTAGGGGCATGTTGGCCATGTTACAATATTTTTCTGTGACACCATCGCCATTACTCATAAGAAGTGACATGTAAATTTATTCTAGACAGTTGATAGAAAGTCTGAATTAATTTTGTTTTGTAGAATTTTATTAACAAGCCTCATTTTTACAAAGAAAGGACGTTTACTTTAAAAAAGCAGTCTCTGTCAATTCCTAACCGTAAGTGTTGTCTACAAACGGAATACTTTTTTAGATATTATCTAGAATGACGGATCTGTTGGACATGTGACTAACCTTGTACAGTATATGCTTATGTGTACACCTTATCCTAGACAACATCAAGATCATGAACTATAAATTTGTTCTATTCGTCAATATATGCATTACAATATAAAGAGAACTTTAAAACACAGAAAAACAGGCCATTAAACTGTCATATAAAATAGAATATGTTAATATAAACTTTTCTCAAACAAATTTCTGCAGTTCAATTTGTTAAACGGTTTTACTTACGTTTTTATCCTATTATCTCACTAGGCTATCGCATATTTCTCGCATCGGCAGGGGACAGAGAAAATCCTCATTCAATGATTGAAAATTTCCAAGCAAAAGAGGCAAAAGGCTTTTCTACTAGGTTTATGACAGTTCTGGAATTCATGGAATTCCATCCAAGAATCTAAAGATCGTGACATTTAAGCTAAAATTTCAGTAAGAAAAGAAAACACTAGCCTTCGGACATTAAAATAATTTTACCTGAAACATTTTTCCACTTGAATTACTAATGGTATATTTCCATCGCCTACGTGGACCATTTCCAGACCATTCTTTGATCAAAGGTAATGTTGGATTATTTAGTTCATCAACAATTGGATCAAGAGCTTCTTTATGACCGATCTCTTGTATACCAATCAAATTGATACTAAAAACACACCAGATAGTTAGTTTCTAAATATTTACAGTAAATTAATAACAGTAGATCTTTCAGACATTTTTTACTATTAGTTCGTGGTTCCTTATTTGTATCTCAGTGAAGAAACATCATCAAAAAAATGTATTTAAAAAGTCTAAATAAAGCGGTTTTTTTCTTTGTTTCTGTTCGACAGAGTTACTGTCTATCCAAAAAATAGATTTATAACGTACTTATGTTCCAATATTGTCCTACAAATAACTTCACGCACACCAGGATTTTTTACTTTGTCCAAATTTAATTGTTGTAAGTTCCATGATGCGAAGCGTATTTTAGATTCATCATTTACTTGAGATATTGGTGCCAATATCTGTCGTTGTAGTAAAGGATTTGTATTTGAAAATAAAATTGTATGAATTTCTGATGGTAGTGTGTCAAATAGCAGAGATGCAACTGATAATGAGTCACTGTTATTATTATTTCGATTTAATGTTGGATATAAACTATTGATTCCACCACCAGATGGACTGAGGCCACTTGGTGTAGTTGGCGCACTATAATGTCCTGTAGCTGCCGTATTATCATTATGTTTTCCCCATATATAATAATTTTTGTTATTAGATTCATTGACTACTTGTCGATGATCAACTGTTACATATGGTCTGATAGACGCTAATACCATATAATTGAAACCTTTTACTTTTAACAGATCTTCGACAAACCGAAACGGTCCTTTTTTTTCTCTTCGTCGAATTATTCGTTCGATTAATTTCAATCTTAAACCGGGTATTGTTCGAAGTTCGTTAAATGTAGCGATGTTTATATTCACAATTTGATTGTTACGTGTCACAGTTGTCAGACGTTGTGGGGTTGGTAGCGTCATGGTCATAGATGATGGTGATTTTATATAAAAATTATGAGTTTGACGAGGATTATCAACACAGATATCAGAACAAACCATCGTAAATAAATCAGCACCAATACCATTGACTAAACAGAAAGAAAAAGAGAAGAATATTAAGTGTAGATTTAACACTATTACAACAACGCGTTACACAATGTTAATGTAACACGATGAAAAATTAATAAAAATTTCTACCCAAAGCTATATCTTCTAAATTTTTGAAACCTCCAATTGCTCGACGATGTTCAATTATATTTTGTGCTATTCGACGATTAATTCCTGGAAGAAGCATCAATTCATCTTCATTCGCATGATTTATATTTATTTGATTTCCATCTTTATTTTGTGATACGAAGGTATGTGGAATGGATTTTACTGTTGTTTCTATCGCTGTACTCCCATTTACATGTTTGTGCGTTAAATGACGTCGAAATATTTGAATTTTTGAGGATGATGACGTAGATGGAACACAAGAGGTAGCACTTAGACAACCCTGTTTGATCCCCATTCCACAAATGTTTATTCATGAATATATATAGACCATTGTCGACTAGACAAATATTATCATTAATATCGTAAAATCACAGTCTACAATGAAGGAGATACATTCTGGAAATTACAAAAATTATGATAAACAAAAAGAGTAATAAAAATGACATGTTTCATCTATCTAACATCCATTCCTTTATATGTTCACACATTACAATTGTACTATAAATGACTCAAGTAAGAAAAATAAAGAACAAGCATTAACGTTTAAATTAAGTATCTAAACGGCTGCTGCTTGCTACTCAGTTGTACCAAAATCAGCCATTTATTCAGTAAGACAGATGGGAAAAAATTTATAAAATTTTGACGAAAGAAAGATTTGGTTAAGATTATTAAACAATAAAATAAAAGTTCTTTTAAACACAAAAAAAGAAAATAAATAGTAAAGTTATTAAAATCACTTCATACATGTACAATGGTTGAATAAACGTAGCTCATTAGATGAAAAAATTGTAGAAAGACAAGATAGAAGTATTTAAATGTCTTGCTTTTCAAAACTAAACTGAACTGAAAACAGCCTGCTTTTTTAAAAAGAGTAAAGTGCAAATAATCTTTCATCATTTTCATCGTGATAATGTTCATATCTTTAAAAACGCTTGACCTAGTAACACACGTTGTACAACTCGATCGTGTAAAAATAATCAACTATTTGATGTAATCAATTTGTTTCTTCCAGCTGATATATTTATTTCTACTACTCGTCTTCTTTTCTCTAGTCCATGGTATGCATCTCTATAGTATACAGAATTGATATCATCATCAAGAGGGAAAAAATTATTACAGAACATCATACAGAAAAAATCAAAAAAACGTAGAAGAAATATATTTTTGTTATAGTAAAAAGCAACAAACGTTAAGCCAGCTGTTGCAGATGATCGAGTATATTTCCATAAATGAACAATAACACCATTACTTCTACATCACACCTCATTTCGTACGTCAATAATTACATAAATACGATCAAAGTTAGCGATCATGCTGTTTGAGAGAACATAGGTGATCTGATCCAATCTTTTTTTACAATCAACACAGTTCAAACGAGAAACTGGTTGTCATACTTCCTTCCACAATCGATCAGCATATAATTGTAAGTCAAACGTAACAAAAATCATCAATTACTCATATGAAGATGAGTAACATGAATCATGAAGACAGGAAGGAAAAACTATCTCATCAGTAGATTTCACTATACACATTATTCTATTAACGATAAAAAGTCAAGAAGCTTATTAGCAGAATATCAATACACACAACTGATATACACAACAGTTTTATAATTTTCGCTGCATCATTCTATTGTTTCAACTGTTTTAGTTCTAAAGTTTTTTGTACTTTCGATGTGGGATAATGTTAGTCAACAGGAATTCTTCTAATTAAGAATAGAATAGCGTTAAGCTTGTACAGAACTAAAATTTGCTTTCTGCTTTTCAGGATGCTCGACGTGGCAACCTTGTTGTACAATCTGTTAAAACTACATTTTCTTATTATGTTTTTCAAAAAAAAGCTATACGTACGAAGATTTAATCCATAACACAGATTCGATCTTCATTTTTAACCTTCCACGTCTCATTTAAAGCGCGGCTTGATTGCTATGCTGTTCCTCATGTATTTTGAAAGTACTGCGTTCGAGCGTCAGTACTCTCAAGTGGTGTATTATCCTTGGGCAAGTTACTCATGTCTACGTGACTCAGATCACCTGTCTGTTAGCATACATGTTACCTTGTAACGTGCAGCATGTTTCCCCTGATTTAGCAGAAAGCTAGCATCTGATTAGAAAATGTGTATAAAAACACAATCAATTGAACGAAAGTACTTTTACTAGAGTAGCTTTCTCTCCAAATCTGCTGTTGGTGATTAGTAAAAAGGATGGATGACTATCTCGAAGATTGACAACTACAGGAAAAGTATCGACTCATAGCTGAAAAGTCTGTCAGAGATTTGTCAATATCCTATATAGGTAACGGTGGCTACAGGCAGGATATTCTTTCTTTCTTATTCCTCTTTCCAAGTATATTGTTCTTTCGTCCTTCAACAGGAAGGTAACATTCACTCAATCTAATACCGATAATCAAATATACGGCTTGCTGGCGTAACGCTGTAAGCGTCCGAAGTTTTCTTCAGATTTACTATAATGTGGCAAAGCCCGTATGGAGTTCAGAGACGGCTCATTTTAAAGAGAAAACATTTTCCTCATTGTTAAGCAATCTTCGATAGATGATAGATTTACAGATGTGAGTTAAACTAGAGAACGGATCGTGAGAATAGAGCGTCACAGGCACGAGAGAAGCTGTCAACATTTGTTCTCTCATCAATTAAAAGCAAAATGTTAGCTCTTTAAAATGAGACATCTACCAGCACTGTGGAAGAATCACACATTAGCAGTAAATGCTTGAGAAGCGTTCAATTAATTCTAATATGCTGTCCTTTGAGACATTATTGAGGTCAGAGGAGATAGCTGACACAAGAATGAATTGACACTTGTAAACTTCAATATTCATGATATACAATACTATCATATACAACAAATATACTCCTGAATATTTGTTACTTACAAAATATAAAATTAAAATGACTGTTGACACTATAAGAATCGTAGATACAAGATCATATCCTAGATTAGGATACAGAGGACAAATAAATCTGTAACTGGAGACGTTTGATGTAATCGAATTAAGTTTCAGACAGTTGATATGCGTTGGATCGCACAAAACATTATTAGCCGTGGTCGCTAATGATCTCTACTTCACTAACCAATTAATGTGTACTCTTAGAAATTTTCTTTCGCTTGTTATATTATACAAATTTTGATGTTATATCCCTTTTAACGCTGGTGAATGCCGTGCGTAGACAAACCCAGTATTTACAGTGTGAATAAACACTAATAAAAAGAAACAAAAGAGTTGCTGGTTGTGGAAATATGACCAGTAAGTGCTCATACAAGATGACCGTTTGTATTAACATTCCGGAATGAGTAGGAATCACAGTAATCGTGACTAAGTCACAGATAAATTTTGCTATGAATAACTATAACATATATTTACTGCTCTTAAATAAGCTTACCAGTACTAAAGCAGGTAGATTCTGTTTCTCTCTTCGGTTTCTTTTTTCTGCTTCAGTTTCTAACCAAAACAAATAAAAATCAATTTACTAGTTACTATGAAATACAGATAGAAAAATACTAATACTGGTCATAGAAATACTGACACTCTGAACAGGTCTACCTTAATCTATAAGAAAACTAAAACATGATTGAAAAATGGCGTGTCACCAAAATCAAACTTTTTTTTGCATAATCATGCAGAAAAACACGCCAAAACGTAAATGGCGTAATGCAAAAAATTAACACAAAAGCGAAATTATTGCAAAATTCTGCAAATTTCAGAACAAAATTCTGTATTAGCCGATCTTCTTGAAAAAGTTTGTACACAAATCACTCTTTTTTGCTTTATGTTTAACGCAGAATTTTCCTGAAAGGTGGCTACATGGGATATGTGCTTATCTCTATACTTGCTTATATGTTTTGCACACTATTATATCCAATAGATAATTACGATTCTAAGTCCTGTTTCTCTTTTTTATACTATTCATCGTCCTCACTACTCACCTTTACGTCTTCATCACTCTAAATATGTTCGCATTCCATCTTCTGCTGATGGTTTTTCTTCGAAACGGTGCATTCTTCTTTTTTTTATTCAACTATGGCTGATTGGAATAATCTCTCAGAGTCAGTTATTCGTCTTTCTTCTTTAACGTCTGTCAAAACAGCTTTACTTCAGTATCTCTTCCAGTGAAACTTTGTCAGTTAAGAATTTATGTGTTCTTGTTTGCTTAACATTTAAAAAAAACTTTTTACTACTTCTAGTTCTAACCTTAGTTGTCTTCTTTATTTTGTTCTTTTTTTTATTACTCTTTTGGTGTTGTTTGGGTTGAGTCATTGTTATTACAGGTTGGTGAGCTTTGATGACTCTCACTTTGCGTGAATAAAACAGCCTAAGTCTTAGTCACAAACATTTGAATGGTTAGTGGTACAAACACAAGTAAACTCGTATTATACTTTGAAAATTCGATTCACACTCTGATATTCACGCTTAAAAATAATTTATCACTTAATTGGTGTTTTCTTTTTGTTTTCGGACGCAAGAGAAAAGGAAAATATTCAAATGTTTTTGGAAAGAGAAAGTGCATTTAGTTCGGTGAGAGGAAATGATAAAGCAACAGTCCGAGTACCGTGTTAGGGGAAAATCGGCAATCATGAAAATATTTTACAATCCTCACTTTGTCGATCTTAGCTCATGATATGAGAAAATTTCAAAAAGTTCAACCGTCCGATAATTCTAAACACAGCATGCTCTCTTCAATACAAATAATTTTTCGTATAAAGGAGAACAAGAACAAGGAAAGACATCTTTTTTCCTTCATTAAATTTGAATGAAGTAAAAGAGTGAAATTGTTTGTTTGTTTATTTTTTTCTCTTCGTTTTTCTCTGATATTCTAATTAGTCTATATTGCGCGAATCGTATTATGACATACGGTGCGACATCATCCTACAGATAAATTCTCAGTGGTTAATTTTTGACAATAGGAGAACAAAATAACAATGACTTATTTAATACGAAGATGTGCTGAGAGAAAAAGACATAACTGTAAATAATAACTAAACAAACAAGACAAATAAAAATTAATTAAACTATGACGTGGTAAGTCTGAAAATAAACAAGCTCCAAAACTTTTCTGTGTGTCTGTCTGTAAGTGAATATCACTTTTTCCATATGTGTACCTTTCTGTTCTCTTTCTTTCTATCTGCACGCTGAGATGAAAAAATGTCCGCACGTGGGATATCTTATGTAGAAAAAGGCATCTCCTTATTTGCTAGACTTCTATTTTTATTTTTGATTCGACTGTTTATCTGTATCCCTAATCCAGATGAGTAGATGGATGCTAAAGTTAGTATTTCCTAAATTTCTTTCTTTTTATCCTCTTAGTTAAAAAGATACAAATTAGTTAAAAACTTTTTTCTTTCCATACATACATAAATCCACGAAAGTAAGCAATGTGAAATGTCTTTGGATAAAGAAATTCTCGAGAACTTCTCTTACACAGTGAAAGTATTTCAAATAAATCGTACGATTCTGTGAACATCCACGCGATGATGATCCGTTCCAACTTCTTATGGTGATAACCATATCTCTTTTACAAATTTTGGCAATTTCTGTAAAAGTTGGATTTTGTTTTGTTCTTCCTACGTTTTACAACGATGTATCATGTGTCTATTTATAATCATGACACCATATTTATCATGTGACGCTCTGTTTTCAACATTTTCGTTTCTTTTATGTTTGCCAAGATCGTATTTACTCAATATAAGTATCATATTCAAGTCAAATGTCATATAAATAATTCACGTACACGAATAGAAGTTTGAAAGAAGATTTTGTATTCTTATTGAGAGAGTAACGCGACGATTATCCTTGAATATTATTAACTGAGCTACTCTTATTCAGCTCAAAATAGTATACTCTAGGTGGTTTTTTTAGTATCCTTCGACAGACAAACGAGAAAGTAGTACGATTTTCATCATTATATAGGAGATACATGGATCCGGAGATGAGAGAAGGTACACAGTTTGTCCCGAGATGTTTTTATCTTAAAAAAGTTATATTGATAAATGACTGATTATTTTTTTAGTGTTTTACTCGCTTTAGTTGCTTTCTAAGGTACAAGTCGTAGTCAATAATAGTTTGACTATATATATGTTAGTGCAAATGTACCCATTTTTTTGACACACACGCGCAAAGTTATGCGTGAATGAAGGGAAAGCTAGGTAAGAGTGAGCCCGAAAAGTATTTCTGTTCTAAAGGGTCATCACTTCCGTAGAAAAGGGAGTAAAAGACTGAGTATAACTTTTTCATAGCTAAAAACATCTCGGGACAAACCTTGTACTATCTTCCAGCCTTTTTAAGAGTCTTAAGCCGTCATACTAACCTGTAATTCAGAAATATGTTGGACACACTCTGATATCTGTACTACACAAGCACGCAAAGTCGATATCTTCGTTCATCGTTGTTGGACTAAATTAAAATTGCTCTGGAGACCTCCTATTGGCCACTAAGATCGAAAATGAATGTAACATAAATGATGAATAACGCTGAATCTTGGGGTAAATATTTATTCGTTTCTAAAAACATACGAGAAAACCTAGTGCATATGAGTGTTGAAAATAGTGCCTTACTTTTAACTAAAAAATAAAATATTCATCTGTCTCTCTAAGTGATTTAGTTTAGATCACAGAAAACAGAAAATCTTTTTTTTATTTATGATAACCCCTTATGAGTTTTTACCTTTGATCTAAAGAGTGACTGATACAAGATCTCCAGAGAAATTTTAATTCAGTCAAACAACGATGTACAAAGATATCGAACTTGTGTAGTACAGATGTCAACGTTTGTTCAACATATTTTTAGAATTTCATAAGATATACCATCTTTGGATAAAAGTTTAAATTTAGGTTTTTTGATAAAAGGGACTATATTTTGAGAAACTTAATTTGAGGAACTATATTTCAATTTGTTTATATCCTTTTCTATTTAAGGAAGTCAATTTTAACAATCAAACTTATTTTATTCTATATTCATACTATATTTTGTGAAGATTTAAACGATTATTATTGGTCTACTCTTTCAATGTCGTCCTCTGATCAATTAACAGCAGCATCAGAAACATATAAATCTCTGAAAAATGTTCAAGGTCATTGGCAAGGTAAACCGTTTAATACAGACGTTGATGCACCAAATAGTAAAAAAGAAGTATCAATGAAATATTTGCAAGAATATCTTGGAAAAGTAGGCACATCAGCTGATGATATATTAAATCTTATGGGTAAACCAGATAAAGAGCTTGATAAACCAGATATTGAACTTGTACATGAACTGAATAGACAGTCATACCAATGTCAAGATGGTACAAAAATTTGGATATATGAATGGCGAGGAATGCATGATTATGTTTATTTTTTAATTAAAGACAACAAAGTAGCACTTTCCGCATGGTATTATGCCTATGAGTAATTAACAAGAAGAAATCAAATCAAATATTTTTTTTCGAATGTTATCGTTGATGACTGCTTTTTTAACGAAAAAACCACGACATTTTCGCTGAAAAATTTTATCTTGTCATTTTTTTATCATTACTGTTTTTTTTTACTCTTCTTGTTTTTTTGTTCTCTTTCGGTTCACAAATTTTTTCATCAATAGAACATTTTTACTCTTTTACTTTAAGACTGAACTACTTTTTCATTTCTAGATGTATACACAATGATTCTAAAGGTGTGCACAAAGTTTGTAAAATAAATATGCTAGAACTAATTAAGAAAATTTTTTAATCTAAAAAGAAATGTCAAAAGGATTGTTGTTTATATAGGCATAAGATTTCCCGAGAAGAGAAAAAAAAATAAGAAATTTTTTTTTTCTAATAAAATGAATAAGCTGTATATCGTTTATTTATATACATATGGAAGACGAAATGAACTATTTTTACATCAATATATAATTCAAAACTACAATAAAAAAAGATGAAAAACAAAAGAAACGATTAATATCTCTCTATAGACAATACTTGAAATATAAACAAAATCTATTTTGGCTGATTGTAAACCATTCGAATAAACGAGTAGACGACAGCAGTAAAAATAAATAAAAATAATAATACAAAAAATATATAAAAATTTCTTAAATTTGAACGGGATTTTGATGTTTCAATTTCGTGAAAACTTGGATGTCGACCAAGAGTAAGTGATGATCGACGAGACTCGGTTGAAAATTCGGATGATGGTTGAAGTAATGATTTTTGATTGGCGATAGTATTGCGTCTGAAAAAAAAGAAAAAAAATAATTGATTAAAAGTTTTTGATTTCTATTCAATCGTTTTTTTTAAGTAATATGATATTCTGAAAGGTATATAGTCAAAAAACGATCACTCTAGATCTTCATATTTCGACAAATTTATACTATCAAATGATTTTTTGTGTTCTCAAATAATTAATATATCTGGAAGATATTTTTAAATATCATTTTCAACTTTGCGGGACAAATGAGAGAAGAAAACAAAAGAATAAGATACTATTACTTTTTCCGTTTTGGAGCGTAACGTTTTTTTTCGGTAAAATTCATGACTAGATTGAAAGTAAAAAGAATTATATTGTCAGATAAACAACAAAAGGTCTATCACCATTATAGGAAATACTATTTTTGTCTTTCTTCTGTTATTTTCTTGCATTAGCAAAATTGGAAAAAAAAGAGAAAAATAGTATATCGATAATAGTTAACACGAAAATCAACTCTACATCATTTGTCACGTAGAAACAAATGAAGAAACATTAGGATCGTTATGTGAGTACTTAATTTCTTTTCTTTTTTTTTATATAAATACTTAGCTAATTTATATAAACTTGTTTCTTAGAGCAGTTGGTGACTGACAATCATTAGAGAGATTGGCTTTGGATTGAAAAAATAGATAATATGATATTATCTTATTTAGAATTATTCTAAGATATCAAACTATTCTTGAATATATCTACATAATGTACTTCATAATCATTTCGAACTATAAAAAGTTATTAGAAAAAAAATAATAATATTTTCATATTCTTAACGATTTCTACATTTAGATAATTCTTAGATTCTTGTTTCGTGTAGATTAAACAGCTATATACTGAATTATGTTTTTCTATCGTTCTATATATATTTTAACTTTACTTTTTTTATAAAACTAAATTATGGCTATGGTACTGGTCTTCAAAAAAATAAAAAATCTATGTATTCAGGATAACAAACAAGATTAGTGAACCTTTAATGTATTATACTGTATAACGGATACTCATCTGGCAACGTTTAACAATGTCATTAATCATTTATTACTTTTTTTTTAATCCAAACTCACATTGTTTGTTACGAGGAAGAAAAAAAAATAGGTGGTTCGTTAAGTATAACATGACAACAACGAGATATTGTATAAAGTCTGGCGTTCTATATGACCTCATTCTATCTTAAAAAATCATATACGTTCATTAAACATATCATAATTATATCGCAATTCTCTATAAACATCGAATTCAGTACGTCAGTTTTTGTTAAAAACAAGACATGACAACCAATTTCCACTTTTAACTTTGTAATACTTCTTTCTAAAATCATGTTCTTTTAATCTATCTTGTCAGCTGGATTCCACTCAAAAGTAGATAGAAACGTGTTTGATCAATCAACGTCAAAAAACAAAGAAAAAAAAAAAGATTAATAGCTTCAATCTACAACTTTCTCTTTTTTCTTTCGCTTTCGACACTTGTCTATAAGGGAATAGTAATCTTTAAACTAATATTCTTATACTTCTAGGAGTGTAAATAATAATCAATCTGTATCTGGTGTTAGGCTATTTATCACTTGTCATACGTCTTTCTTTATATTCTAAAGGTCATATTTAAATAATTTTCATATACATACTTCATAATGTTCGAATTTAAAAAACTTTTATATCTTCGATGATGTTGTATCAGCCATATTGAACGTAAGAAATACACACTAATAAATAGTTGCTATTATTTGCTATATGAAACAAGGAATTTTATTTTTTGTTCTATACCTATCTGTCGATCGTTTTTAAATAGTATAATAACACTGTACGATTTAAATCGATTGCTTTTTTTTTATGTTCTCTCTTTTTTAAATTATCAAATATTCATATCGATGTATAGGTTACATTTATTAATCTTCTATCACTTAATGTAAACGAAAATCATCATTTTTTTATTCAAATTCAAACATTTATTTTTAAGATTTTTAAAATTTTTGTTTATATCAGAAAAAAACAAAAATATTGACAAGTTTTAATACGAAACACGAACAGAGAGGAATAAATAATATCTAACGCGATAAATGTCCCTGATATTCAGGTAAAAATAATGCACAATAGATGTGATGAAATAATGAAACTCTATCATTATCATCAAAGAGTCTAATACTTTTGTTGCCGTGATAACATGTTATTTGATGAAGAAAAAAAGACGAAAAGACAAATACATTTCAAAAAAAGTGCTTTTGTATGGAAATTTTTTTTACATTTAGAAAATTTTCACGTCTGCGTGTTATTATCATTTGTTTTTTAACCTTAGAAGTTTTGTATCTAGGTAAATTATATACAAGAAATACGGAAAAAACCTATTTATCAATATTGTCAAAACAATATCATCGTGCAGATAATTCTCGTTACGAATCACATAATATCACTTATAATGCATAACAGGATCATTCTTTTGGTTTTTTGGTAGTACGAACAAAAAATAATAATGAATCTCTCCATATTCAAGAGAATAAAAATCTTAAGACTACACTCTTTTTCTAGTTAGAAACTATTTGTTAGTCTAATCATCCAACACCAATTGTTCTTATTTTACCTTATATTTGATATAGTTTGAACAATCCTTCTACGTTTGACATTGAAAGGAATCTTCAAAAACTAGAATTATTTATAGTTTGTATTCTTACCTTACTAATGACGGTGACTTTTCAACTGGTAAACTGCTATAACCTTTTGAATTAAATGTATCAGAAAATACTGATGGTGATATTGAAGCTCTGTGTTTCAAACTAGTTGACTGTGATAATGTATGTCCAATTTCATGACTTGTCGGCGTTGATCGTCGAGCATAACGCATCATTTGAAATGATCTCATGTTTACGGTTAGATCTATTTAGAAAATAGTAATTAATAAATAGTTTTGTGAAGTTCATATCACGATATACGCGATTTTATGCATATAAGCTGGAACCTTTCTTATTCAAAAGATTCATGGGTAAAATTGACAAAAAAAGTTTAAAAATTTCAGAACCTCGGCATTATAGAAAATTAGAAGTCGATATTTTTCACTGTTTACGGACAGAAGATTCTCCAAACAAAATCCTGAGCACTTTCTACCTATTAGGTTGAGAAAAAAGTTCGTGCGCCGTGTTAAAATAATGATTTTTTATATATTTTTTTTTTGTGTTTTTGATCTGGTTTTGTGGCTATTATGAAAATTTATTGATTTTTTAAGATGTCTGAT